TCCAATGAAAGACGGCCACGTCATTACCAAACTCTCGTATTGTTCATTTCTAATTTTCTTATCTTTATTTTCCTTTTCTTTTTCAGCAAGCAAAAACAAAATATAAAATAAAAAATAAAGACCCTTCTCCCCCAAAGTTGTGTTAGGTGACGGTGATGAGTGGTGATGGCTTTTCTCTGTGCACAAAATTAAAAAACGAGGTCCTTTTCTTTCAAACTCTTTAAATTCTTATATATGATTTTAATTGCTTTATAAAACAACGGGATTGGTTAGTGAGTATCAACCTAATTAGAAGGCGCTATATATCAATCTCCATATCGGTTTTCACAGTTTATTCAAAAAAAAAAAAATTGCTGCATATAAAATGAAATTACAAATCTGGCCTCACTTGGTAATGGGAAAAATATAATTCTCCAGTTTAATTGAAAAACAACAACACTTTTTCATCTAATTCATTTTTTGATATTCTTTAATGTAATAAATATTTTAACAACTATATAGTGTGACAAAATTTTACGATTACTGAAATGCATGTGTTGCCTACGTATGATGACTTTGACTTTATGCATGGCGTAGAAAAGCAAAGGCTAAATCCGTCCAACTACGCTTTGTCTTCACCTACTAGGGTACCAACGCGCGCTTCGTGCGCATGAGATGACTCTTTAAACAAAGGTGGATTATTTTTATAAATACTCTCGAATTATGTATATTGTTTTAAAATACCCTTTAATTTTTTAAGAGAGTTTAAAATGCCTCTCGATGTATAAAAAACGGTACATAGTTTAGGAATATTTATAAAAATTAGGGGATATTTTTAAATAAGATACATAGCTTTGAAAAATTAAGCTTATCAGAAATTGCAATTTTACTATTTCCGTTAATGAAATATCAAGTTTTTAAGCGGTGATAATGCATTGGTTTAATGGTTTGCGGGGATGCAACACCCGATCCTAAACAGTCAACAAGTCTTCCAAATAGTCTTTGGGCTCACAATTTACACCAAGGAAACCGGCTTAACGTTGCAGCACGTTGGAAACTCATGTATTTGGTGAAGAAAGAAAGACAGGGAGGCCTCGCAGGATTGGATGCAGAAAACAGGTGCTCTGTGGATTTTTTTTTTTCTTTTAGAACGTTTTTCTTTTTTGTTTCGGATTTTTTTTTCTTTGTTGAGGAACGGAAAAGCAATATATATATATATATATATAAAAAGAAGATAGTTCGGTGACCATGTATTGTCTTTCGTTCTTTTCATTGTTACCAATTATTTTAAGGACAATCAGAAAACAAAAATTTGTTGTTTTTGATTTTTTTTAAAAAACTAAAAAATTTAGGTGGTTCTCAATAGCCAAGCCGAGATAAGGGTCGGATCAGAGCACTTTATTTTTTATTGGTATGTCATTTTACACCAAACCAATACACAAAGGATATATTTTTTTTATTCCCATGAAAGAATCCTCATTATCTAATTAATGAATAATACACCGACTAGATTTGGTAGTGCTCGTGACTTTAACAAAAGCTTTGTAGAAGTCTTCACGTTATTAGCCAAAAAATAGATAAATAAAAAAATTAAAAAAAAAGGAAGCCAAAAGTTGACTGCGCCAGATAAGAAGAGTTCATAGCAACTTCACTCTGTGAATCTGATATCGTGATATAGAAACTAATTAACTAATTTGGATTTCAGTTCACAGTCGGTATAAATCTTCGTTTTCAGTGTTTAATTCCATTCACAGTTGTCAAATACTTGCCATTTCCAATACTATTGCCGATGCCTTGCTTTCTCCATTCCTAAACCAGCTGCTCACGGCCATTCGAGAAATGGCGGAACATGAGGTGAGCATGGGGAAGGGAGTTCAAGATGCGGTCGAAAACCTGAGAAGGAATCTCGAAACCATCAAGGCGGTGCTTAAGGATGCCGAGAAGAGACAGTGGAAAGACAAGGCGGTGAAAGTTTGGATGGATGAACTCAAAGACATAACCTACGACATGGATGATGTCTTTGATGAGTGGAAGACCGAAATCGAGAAAGATGGCGAAAGTCATGAGACTGATCAACGCGATCTCTTTGTTACGAAGATCAAGGTACGCTTCTCCGTCCTTTGTAGATGTTTTAATTCTAGCCCTCCTGGACGTCAACTGTGTCGTCGGCTTGACATTGCTCACAAGATAGAAAGACTAGATCGGGAGACTAGACTTAATTGGGAGAAGAAAGAATATGTTCGATTTTATTAGTGCGTCAAGTACAAGTACTAATGAACCTAGACGACCAAACTTTAGTACTTATGTCATTGATGCGCCTGTTGTGTACGGTCAAGATGAGCATAAGAAAACTGTTTTGAACCACTTAATTTGCAGAGAAGAACAAGGAAATTAGTACTCATGAGGACCTCTACATCGTCCCAATTGTAGAAATGGGAGGAATTGGAAAGGCCACTCTCGCGAAACTAGTTTACAATAACGAAAGGCTGAAGGAGAATTTTGATGTGAGAGCTTGGGTCTGTGTCTCGGATCCATTTGATAGATTTGAGATCGTAAAGGCAATCGTTCAACAACTCAACGGTGATGATCATGAGAGAGCTTCAACTAGTACTGGTGTTGGAGATCAGAACTTGGAAACTCTAATGAGGAAATTTCACGAATCTATCAAGGACCGACGATGATCTATGGACCGACGATCATCAAGACTGGGAACCGCTAGAAGAGCACCTTAAGGCGGGAGCCGTTGGCAGTAGAGTTTTGTTGACAACACGAAAGAAAGGAGTAGCTAAAATGGTGGGAACGACGCGCATGGTTTGCATCGAAGAGTTGTCCAAGAAAAGATATTGTACACAAGTGCAAAGGTCTACCTCTTGCGGCAAAGACGTTAGCAAGTCTCTTACGCAATAAAAGCAAAGTGGCAACATGTGTTGCAAAGTGATTTATGGGAGTTAGAAGCGGATAAATTTGGAAAGGTTGAGAAGAATCTTTTATCTCCTTTATTGTTGAGTTACTACGATTTGCCTTCTAGAGAAAAGCGTTGTTTTTCATATTGTGCCATCTTCCCTAAAGATTATGTAATCGACATAAGCGATCTGATCAAACAGTGGATGGCGCAAGGTTATTTCGGTTTGAAGAATCGCGATATGGAGGCAGAAGGTCGCAAGTGTTTTGACAACTTAGCAATGCGGTCGCTTTTCCAAGATTTCGAGCATGATTTTGATGTGAGTATTATAAAGAGATGCAAGATGCACGATTTAGTCCATGATTTTGTGCAACTTCTTACATTAAATGAGTTTTCCACTGTAACAATGAAGGAAAATATTGCACAAAAGGAGGACTTGATGATCCATACTCGCCATTTGACCTTGGTACTTTCTTCGGATTCGGAGGGACAAATTACGGAGCTCTCAATTTTGAAGAAGATGAAGAACTTGCGCACCCACGTGGTTAGAAGCTTCAATACTGATAAAATCGGCCCCGAACACATTTCGTATTTATGATATCTTAGGACATTAAACTTGAGTCGTTGCTCCTTGAAAGAACTCCCAAAAAATATTGATGAGTTGATACTTTTGAGATACCTAGATTTGTCTGATAATTCTCAAAGTGTCTTGCCCAGTACAATCGGCAATTTGTATAACCTGCAAACTTTGATTTTGCGCTCTTGCGGTGATCCAGAAGCTTTCGAGGGTTTGCCTAAAGAAATTGGCAAATTGGGAAACCTTTGGATGTTGTCCTTGGAATTTGGTATCAGCCACAATAGTGACAAGTTTCAGTTACGAGATCTCAGCAAGTTGAACAATCTTCGCAATCTTGATATACGTCGTTCCGAAGAATCGGGACATACAGGTGGGCCTATGCTCAACGAGAATCGAATTCTTTACTCGCTGGAGCCGTCTTTTTCTCCATCTGGGGAGAAGAGAGCTGCTCAAGAAAATGCACTTGAAGCCTTCCAACGATATCCAAACTTGCAATATTTAGGTGTCGTCCTTTACTGCGGTCATTGCAGTCCTAACTGCGTAATGACACTAGCCAATTTGAAAACTTAGCGCTTGGCTCACTGCAGGAGCCCTAACATTCTTCATGCTTTGGGGAAACTCCAATCACTTGAAACACTTGAATTATTTAGTTTGTACTCTATCAACAAGGTTGGACCTGAATTTTTGGGAGCAGAAATTGAAAACAATATGAGTTCTAGAGGATTAAGCAGTACAACTGGCCGGGATTATGATGATGGTGCAACAATGGTGAATATTTTTCCGAAACTTAAACGAATTTGGCTTTGTTTGCCGGAGTGTCGAGAATGGGTGGGCATATCAGGCTGGACGGTTGATATTCCTGTCAGGATAATGCCGCGGCTTGAATACCTCAACCTTCAAAACTGTGATCAACTACAGGCCTTACCTGACTTCCTCTAGACAACACCATTGAAGCATTTGATCATACAAAACTGCGCACAATTAGAAGGGCATTGTCAAAAACAGTCGGGAAAGGAGTGGACCAAAATCAGTCATGTCCCAGACATCCAGTTTGGCTAAAGAATTATCAAATAAGTACTCGTCGGCGCTTAAGGTAACAATTAATTTCCTTAATTTATTCTTGAATCCTCTTGCTTGTCTACTAACTAGCAGAGATAATGTATTGCATACACTTATTTTAGTGCATAATTATAGTCTTACCTTTGAATTCTTTGTCTTTTCAATTCAAATTCAAACTTTATGTTATAAATAATCTTGATGTTTTGACTAACTTTTCTCTTCGGCTGTCATTAATAATATAAAAATCAAACATCAATGGATCTTAATCTTAACACATGAAAGAGTCAAAAGTCTTTTTTCATTCACTTGACAAGTGTTAATTGTCATCTTTTTTGCCTTTTTTTTTTTTTTTTTTTTTTTTTTTTTTTTTTTTTTTTTTTTTTTACTTTTTCTCTTTTTTCTTTTTTGTCTTTTTTCTTTCCTCATTTCTGTTCTCTTTTCTTTTTTTCCTCTTTCTATTCTTTATCTCTTTTCTTTTTTCATTCACTTGACAAGTGTCTTGCCCAGTACAATCGGCAATTTGTATAACCTGCAAACTTTGATTTTGCGCTCTTGCAGTGATCCAGAAGCTTCGAGGGTTTTCCTAAAGAAATTGGCAGATTGGGAATCCCCTGGATGTTGTCTTGGGAATTTGGTATCAGCCACAATAGTGACAAGTTTCAGGTACGAGATCTCAGCAAGTTGAACAATCTTCGCAATCTTGTTATACGTCGTTCCGAAGAATCGGGACATACAGATGGGCCTATGCTCAACGAGAATCGAATTCTTTACTCGCTGGAGCTGTCTTTTATAATATAAAAATCAAACATCAATGGATCTTAGGCCCCGTTTATTTCGCTGATTCGAATTTAAAATTTAAGTTTTATTACAGTAAAAACTCTCACAAACAATCACATCTAACATACGGAAAGAGTCAAAACTCTTTTTTCATTCACTTGACAAGTGTTAATTATCATCTTTTTTGGGTTTTTTTTTTTTTTTTTTTTTGTCTTTTTTCTTTCCTTATTTCTTTTCTTTTTTACTTTTTTCCTCTGTTTTTTTTTTTTGCCAAAAACTACTCTACATTAGAGAGTCACTAAAACTTACTTTTTAAGTACTTTTATTTTTGCTTTGCTCTTATTAAGTTAATTTCTTTTAAATGCGTACTTATTTATTCTTTTTTTTATTAAGAGCACCTCTACGGTGTAATTCTTATTTTACGTGGTTTTTTACTCGTTTATTTATGTTAAAATAATTTTTAAAATGTGTACTTAATTTTTTTTTTTGTCTAGTCCTATACGGTAACACGTTGTGAAATTATTCTAAACATACATAAAAGAGACAAAGAAGTTGCTTGTCCTTTGACCATGTGTCAACCTCTAATTCTTTCTTCATTTTTTTTTTTTTTTCTAGTGTTTTTTTCTTGAAATCTTCATGTTTTGTTTTTGTTTTTACTTTTTCTATTCTTTTCACTTTTGATTTCTTATTGCTTCTTCTTTTTTTTTTTGCTTAAAACTCCTGTATAATTTATTTTTTTCCTCTTTTTTTTTATAAGTTTTTCTTCTTTTCTTTTGCCTATTGTCCTTTTTTTCTCCTCTAATATTCTTTCACATTTTTATTTACTTTTACAATATCTTTTTTTTAAATATTTTCTTTCTCCCACTTTCTTTTAATTAAAATACTTCTTTTCAAATATCTCCCTGCTTTTTTTTGTTAATTTGATTCTTTTTCGATGTATTTTTTGAAATGTTTTTCCTCTTGCTCCAATTCATAGACTTAGTTTTTAAGAAGGCTACGTGTTTTAACGCGTGATCAAACTTATAAAGTTATTCCCCACATGTGTAGCACGTAGTTCAACTAGTATATATCTATAATAGTCACATTGCATTTTAGTGCAAAAGCGCTTGGAGAAGTACTGATTAACTGTGATCATATTCTCATAATAACAAATAAAATACATACTTATTAGTATATCTATAAACTGGATATATCTTATCAATTATCACTGTATCTAATAGATGAAAATCAATATTTTCGGTCAACTCCCACCGATTTAACTGATTAATTTGCAAGTCAATTTTTTAAGCTTCTTTTAATATTGCCTCATTTTTTTCTTTGGGGTTTTTTTGTTCAGGAAAATAGTTGTTAAATGATAGTTCTCCCAAAATTTCATCCGAATGCTCACAACAAATTGCAGAAAACAATGTTTAGTCTGCAAGTCATGTTGCTTTCTGATGCTCAAGCAGGCCTTAGTGCTGTTGGTCTCTCGATTTCCATCAAGTGAAGTTATCCACCGACTATAATGGTGTATTTTTATTTTTATTTTTTTTAAGTTAATAGACTATAGTGGTGTGTTTAAAAGAGAAATTTGTATGCTTGATTAAGTATGTGCCTCTTTAAGTTTCCTCTTGTTGGAACTTGGTAATTGTATTATCCCCTTAAATGTTTCAATCAGATCTACTACTAGTTTCGGTTTGTGGTTAGCGTGGAATCGCTGAATGAGTTAAGGTCTTTATAAACCAGCGTGTGTATTTATCTCATTTGTAATGCAATTCCCATTTTCAAATAAATAAATAAAAAAGCTTGCGAGGAGGTCTCTTGGATATACAAAAGCTAAGGCCTCGTTTAGTTCATGAGTTCAAACCCAATAGTTTGAATCAAAATTAAAATTTTTGTGAAAGAAAACACTGTAACAGAGTTTTTTAAAATTTAAATTTTTGTGAGACAAAACATTATTTGAACTGGATTTGTACCCCAGTGGTTGATGGCCCTATTTCAGTTAAAATGGTTAAATTAGAAAATTTCTCATATCTATCGAGAAGGTAGCCAAGTTGCGGAGAAGATAGCAGTTAATCTGAAAATTGGGATCATAGTACCACTCTCGCTACTTCTGTATAGGATTTACTAAAAAATAAAAATAAATAAAACACTTTGAGAGCTATACTAGAAGCCACACCAAATTTAAACCCAATACTCAAACATAGCAATGCCCTTAAAAATCATAAAATTGATCACTAACCTGCAAAATAGAGGGGCTTCATATCAAATTCAACTGAAAAAAAAATGACATTTTGTAACAAATAGATGAGGCATTAACAATGAATTAGAGATGACTTGCGCAGAAAGCAATGATCCATGTTTAAACTTATTGCAAAAAGAAAACCTCTGAGAAACCCTTGTGATGACCCTAACTTTTGATCATCATCCTACATTCATACTTAGCATTACTTAACCTCTATTACTTTCTAATTATAACCTCTTAAAAATTCAGGCTAATTTTTTTTTTTCATTCATACGTCTAAATGCTGTAGCATTTTGCTAGCATTCTGTCTTCAACCATTCATACGTCTAAATGTTGTAGCATTGTACTAGCATTCTATTTTCAGCCATTCATACATCTTAATGCTGTACCATTTTGCTTGCATTTTGTTACATTAATCATACCTTGTTACTAGAGGTTGCTATGCATAACCTCACTGTCTCACAAACTCAACTTCGTTACATAAGTAATCTATATTCATAAAATACTATTTACTTTTTACACAAAACACGTGATGCATCCACAACCCACTTACCCACACTCCGTTGCTACATCCTCTCTGCATGACCAACAACAAGTTTTAGGGAGCTGGTGCCTTACCCGAGCTTCCTACAACATGAATAAACTTAATGAACTTTCGCTCAGCAAGTATCAATAGGTCATAACAAATGCAATAATTATGCACACCCATATATGCATTCATGTCATATATCCAAATACATTATGTACTACTAAAACACGTATAGTTTATGTTCTTCTTCTTTCATTACATACTTTGTACAGCTTTCGTCTCATTATAGTCGATCATATTGTATTTTTTACGTTCTGAACGACTTTCATTTTGTGTTTCTCATTCTTTTCATTCTTCTTTACAGGTACCATACCTTTATGTGGATGGTTTTTGTGCTTCATTTTCTTGTCTTTTACTTCTTTTGGGTCCTGTCCTGTTGTACCATAGCTCGCATAACCAGTGAGGAGTGGGGTAGCTAACCAATCCAACTCAGTCACGGTTTTATTTCTTTCATAGTCTCCTTATAACCTTTCCTTCAAAGGCTAGTACTATCAGGATGTTTGGTCTCTTACCATTTATCAATTTTCTCATTAAAACGGTAACTTTAGTTAAATCTTATGAATTTGTGCATTTTTGAACAATTTATCATGAGATTGACTTTTCGTTAAAGTTTAACTTTTTCTCTTAACTTTACCTCGACTTAACATCGATACATACTTTTCACAGATTCATGTTCTACGACTACTTAAGTCTTGTAGATACATACATAACATTGTATCTAACATCCAGGAGTCATCTTTCACATTCTAGCACACATTTAGTCTACAATACGCTCGGATTGAGCAACATACAGAAATAAATTTACTTGTGTTGTAGACAAGAAAAACTACTGATACATACAATATGTACAATTTTTGTGCAATATAGAAAAGTAAGCTTGTTCGTGATATAGACATACAACAACTGTTGTACTTACCAAAGTTTCGCTAACGATGTGTCCTTTGTCTCACTTGATGTTTTCTGACTGCGATCATTAATCGATCCTATTGCATAAATTTCCGATCGTTAGATTCAAAATTTAAGATCAATAATTACATTGAAATTTAATTTGGAAAGGTATTCAATCCCAAAATATTTTCTATCTCCAAAATTTGCACTAAAACCGTGCTCTGTCCTCAGTTTGGGCCTAATTTTTCAGTTTTGGTCCAAAACTGTGAATTCTCATTGCGTTCGGTTTCTTTACATCACTGATTATCAAATCGACTTGCTTTTCATATCTTAATTCCTTATTCCTCATGAAAACCGATTTTAACTCAAAGTTTCAAACTAAATTTCGGCAGAGTTCTGCCTACTTTTCCATGTTTCCCGAGCTAACCTTAGCTCGTTTTATCCGTTATTTCTACTATCAAACACCATTCATATAATTTCTCTTTCAATTACATCACAATTCTAGGGTTTCCTCACATTTCCATAAAAATTCTCCATACCAAGAATTACTAGAAACAAAAGCTCAATAACCTAGAATTCATCCTTAATTCACTAGTCATCAAGTTCCTTAATCATCACAAGCTAATCTTCCTTTTAAGTGAAATTTTTTCCATCTTCTCCCCTATACTCCACGTGCAACTATGGTAGGGAAACAACAAGAAAAATTCAAATTCTCACCTTAGAAAATGAAGAACAAGCTTCGGTGACGCGAACTCGTGGTGTCGTTTCGTCAATTTCGATCAAAACTCATTTTTCTCACTTTGGATGAATTTTTTTCTCTTCCTTTCTCTTTGGCTGAGTTCCCTCTGTTCTTAGCATGAAAAATGAACATTTCTCACATGCTATACCTTTAATGAGCCGACCATACATAAAGCAAAAGTCCAAAAATACAATTTTGACATTTCCAATGACCTTTTTGCAAAATTTCACAAAATATCGCAAAAATATCTTTCATTTTCTTCTCCTCCAAGCTTGGCCAGCCACCTTTGGATGCCACATAGCTCAATCTTAGCCCTTCACCCAATTTTACACTTTTAATCTCAACCATTGATCATTTAATACGTATCCTATTCTGGTTCAGTTTAATTCCTATCCGGTACGCGTTTTATCTGCATTTTTCAGACAGTTGGTTAACTTAGTCAACCTTGACCATTCTTGACTAACTTTTCGAGGGCAACATTTTGGTCGACTCTTAGTCAACAAATTTTGACATGGTTAACTCCAATCAGTCGAAACCCCAATTTTCTCAGTTCGGCTCTCCGTACCCCTTTTTTATCTGTTTTTCGTTCCGATTGTTTCTAAAACCCTAGAATTGATGTCATTCAATTCTTTTCCATTTCTTAAACTTATCATTTATGTGTTTATCCACTTATGGGCTTAACACAACATTCCATACCTCTTTCTTAAATACAGTCTGAAAATCGGTAACTGCATCGTAGTTCAGAAATTTCTGAAGTTTAGCTTATAACTTGCTATTCCATATTTATATTAATAAATACTTATCATAACAGTATTCATATTAATGATATAAAGGATTCTATGAAATATTATCCTATACAATAATTCTGATAAATTTCTCAGTCATGACAACCCACTGCATCATATACCAATAATCACATATTTGAGCACAGCGGAAAATCCTAATACAATCGTAACAATATCAGATATTTGTAAAAAAAAATAAAAAAAATAAAAAAAAAAAAAGTTTAGAGTTTCCGAAAAGTACTTCTCAACTTAGAATTTGGCATAATGTCAACTTTAGCCTGAATTATGTTGTTTGTCTCATTTTTGCTCTTGAGCTTTAAAACATTACAATTCAACCAAAACTATGCTCTTCGTCGCTTGTTTGTCAATTTAGTCATGAAAATCGTTATATTTTATGTTTGAGCGACAGAAATGTAATAAAAGACACATCATGTCACAACAAATAAAGTCTATAGAAGAAAAAAAGCAGGAAACATAGTGAAGAAATTAAGAAATAGAATATTAAATGCCATCATTTGGTTAAAACAACAAGGTCTAGAGAATAGTATCAGTTGGTCGAAACAAAGACCTTAATTTGCTGCTTTAGCTACACCTTAAAGGCCCAAAATGGCAGGTTCTTAAGTAAAGTTCTATTGGAAATGTTGAAATTACTTGCTAACTTCTTTGAAGATATGAAATTTTGATGACTGATAGAGCGAGGAAGAAGTGAGAGAGTGAGAAAAAGCAGCTTTAGTTACAACAAATTAATAGCTTCAGCACAAAAAATAATCACACAAAAAAAAAGACTACAATTATCACATACCTCCTAGTCATTTAAGCTATCTTCCAAAAACATAAACAAAACAAAACAAAAAAAACAAAAAACAAAAAACAAAAAAAAAAGAAGAAGAAAAAAGTAGGCAGTTTTCCTGCTACAGATTTAATATGATTTTTCCCATATCACTCAAGTCAAATGTGTTTCAAGTTTCCCATTTTATGCCTTTTATGTCAATCTTTTCTGAAAAAAAAATGACAATTTCATACCAAATCTGCTCCAAGTCAACCAATGACACCCACAAATACGTATAGAGATTTTCTAAACAAGTATGTCAACTTGTCCAGAAAAATGAAATCTCTGATCGTGTGCAAAGAAAAGCAATTCTTGTTTGAAACTTGAGGGAATTCGGGAATATTTAGTGAAATGAGGAGATAGTAAAATGGAAATAGTAACCTTTATTGAGAAACAAATAATTAGGCTGGTGGGTAATTCTTAATCAGAGCAAGAATTTACTCCTGTCACAAAATTTTCCGAGAGGAAAGTTTCATGAGAAAATAGAACAATATCGAAATGTAATAAAGCTATACCTAAAACAAACCAGCACTACACATTAATCTCCCAAGCGAGATTTGTTTTTCTTCCATTGCTAGGATTTCGAACCTCGCAAATTTGGAAGAAATCATGAAATTGGAGAGGAGATTGGCTCCGAAGTCTTGATGGAGGCCTTAATCCCATCACTGCCCTGTTGGTGAATTGGAGGGCTCGAGGCATTGGTGTTTGGGGGATGGAGAAAAGGTGGGAGAGCTCATAAGATGGAGAAAGAGATTTTAACAATGAGGCTAGGGTTTACGTTAGGATTGGGAAAGATGGTAGATATAAATTGAAATATAACTTGGCGATTCATGAAGATATATAGATAATCAAAGGAGGATGAAAGTCAAATGACAGAACTAAAACACCAAATTAATTTGTGGCACTAATTGAGATGATTGGGTAGAGAGTGAGTTCTTTCACAGAGCTTCTTGCCAAAAGAATGCTAATTGGGAATCTTTTGTTAGGAAATCTGGGCTCAAATCGAAATAAATTATCGAGAACAAAAAATAATGAATGAAAAATAAAAGCATAAATGAATACCAAAAATTTAATACAAGTTCACTAATTTAGCTATGTTATGTTTCTGGTGCCGCAGATTTCACTATATTATTGAAGATAATCGATACAAGAGAATCGCTTCATGACTCACTTGTATTTCTCTCACTCCTAATGAAATTTCTCTCAGCAGTCACACTTAATTTTCTCTCAAAAAATTGTCAGTAATAAAATCCTTAACAATAGGTATTTATATAGCACAAGAAAAACCTGAAAAATTCCGAAAGAAAACCTAAAAACCGACTCAAAACTCAACTTGGCACGTGCCTGGCGCTGCCTTTTCAGCACTTCGAATGCCCTTGTGTTGCGCACGCTACGCACTGCCATTGTGGCGCGAGCACCCCCGCGCCGATTTCTGAAGCGCCGTGGAGCCCATGCTGTGGCACTGCACTGCTGTCCAGCATGCAGCAGCTCTCCTAGCGCCGCGGCCCCCCAGCGCCTTCAAATCGGGGCCGCGGCGCTATGGTCTTTGAAATATGTGTCAAAAAATTTATCTTTGCCGCACCGGTTCTTTACACCTATGTACACTTCAATTAAGAGATTTGGAAATCTACTTTCAAAGTAGTTGTACAAACCTTCTTCCAATGATCCTATGAGTTTCTGAAACAATCGCCCACCAAAAATGAGTTATACTTAAGAATATCAATAGGGCACATTATATTTTGTGTCTGGAAATAGACAATATTCATAGAGCATATTTCTTTAGGACTAGTACCTTAATTTTTGGTGGACACCTTCCATAATGATTATAGGTGTTTCGAATTAACCGCAATAATTCTGGAAGGCTGTCGTATTTATAAGTACTATCTGGACTGTACTTTTTCAATTGTTCAATTGCATAATTGATTATATCTGCGTCAATCCTCTCGTTCCATTCTCGAACATCCTCTCCCTTCCATTTTCCTACTATAACTTTCGATGAAATAGTTTCTAGCTCATTGCGAAGATCTCTGTCTCCAAAATCATATACTTTTTTGCAAGTGTTAAGAAGAAATAAAAGTTTCTCCTTCGGATCCGAAAACGGTAGATAGCGCAGTGCCTCCTTCGCTGTTAGACTGACAACAATAGAAAAGAAGTGAAAAAGAAGCATGCATGCGTGTGTGCGTGTGTGCGTGCGTGTGTGTGTGTGTGTGTGTGGCATAGCTATGGTATTCTGGGAGAAACCTATCTCCATCATTAAATTTAGAGGTCAGAAATCTAAGAATAAATGTCAGAATTATGTTGAATAAATGTCATTTTACTTTTTTTTTTTTCACTTCTTTATGTTACAATATGGTCCTTCAATAAGGTCCTTGGAAAAACCTAGCTTAACATAGGGCTCACCGGGACCAAATGGTAGCTAGGTCAGAGCCAAAGAAAAGGAGTTTACTATGGGACCTTGATTCCGCACTTTCTCGGTGTAATAGCATAACTCTCAACATAACTCGATGAATATGGTTTTGTTCATATCTATATACGTCTTGGATAAATACTATCAGGTTTTTAATTGGCATTTGTGGCAACAAGAATTCAGACAATTCAGAAACTAGCTGGTTCCGCAGATAAGTGACGTGTTGCGAAAGTCAAATCCGTGACAAGGCTTTTGAAAGTAAAGTGTTATTTATCAAGATAAAATCCGGTTTTGTTACTAGGATAAGCCTCAACATAGATCATGTAGAGATAAAGCCGAATTGGTATTATGATACACACTGAAGATTTAAATTGGGACATCAAAGATTTGAAAAAGATTTGATCAAGAGAATCCTAATTTGAGTTAAATTCAAATTTCCAGCTTAAATAGCATTCGGTTTTTGGAGACATAAAAGCCAGGATGTGCAATTTCATTAGAGGACATTTTGCAGAAGGCTTTTAGAAGAAAATAGCAGAGAAAAATGGATAGAAGATTCTAGAATTGGATTTGAAATTTAAGAATTAATGTTGCAATAAATTGTGGAATAAATTTTGCAACATTCAAATTTTGAAAGATACTCATATGAAATTTAAGATAAATGATTGTCAGCTCTTTATAAGTCTCAAGTCAATGCAAGCTACAGCTATCGGGAACATCTACACACAATGAATTTTGAGTTTTGTGTTCTACGGAAGAAGAATTTGAAGTTTTCGGGAACAAACATTTTGTGAATTGAAGGGAGTTCAATGTCGAGACATTGAACACGAGTGATGTTCGGTGAATAATCTAGCTAATTGTTACACGATCTAGGCGACAATTACATGGTGTCAGTAGGTTAAGTCCATTGGTGATTGTAACGGTGTTTAATTAGGAAATTATTTAATATGAAGGCGTGGCCCTGTGGATAAAAGTTTTTTCCTGAAAATGGAAATTGATTAATCTGACTAAATAACTTTTAGTTGGTAAATAAATATAACAGGACTCGTTTCAGTATTTGTTGCAACAATAATTAACACTACACATAGGTCTTTCCAGTTACTCATTATATTGAAGAAAGTATAAGCTTACCGTTCTGTAGGATTCGTGCTTGTTAAACAAAGGAAAAGATGACGAGCTTCAGGATTATTCTCCAACAATGAGTCCCTCTTCTTTGTTATTGTTTTGCAATCACCAAATTCAGAAATACCAGTGATGCAATAACATAAAATTCGACCGTAAGCGTGCATATCATCAACCCATATATGGTTCCCGTGATCACGACATGCTTGCCTATCCAAAGTGCCACTACCTAGTAAAGAAATTAATTCCACAATACATGAGACAAAATGAATGATAAACCCTAAGAACATTAGGTTAAAGAATAACATAAGCAAATAATACATCAACTGGATAATATTAGGATCTTGATGAAGAGAATATTAGTTGATCATTTGGCTATATACATACACATATAAAATGTACGGGGGTGCTTATGAGGCAAAATGAGAGTACTTACCAGTTTTAATGCCCATGTCAGAAAGCTTTACATGCCAGAGTGATCCTTCCTTAATTATTCGAATGTTTTGAGGCTTTAAGTCTCCGTGACTTATGCCCAATGTATCATGTAAGTGCACTAGCCCGGAAAGCACTTCCCTGTAGAATAATACAAACATATAATTAAACATGATGATATAAAATCTATTACAAAAAAAAAAACTTAACCAACCTCATCACTGTCCGCAACAAATCAGGAATTGGACTCCCATTTTTCGGAATGAGTTCAAATTTTCCGACAATCTTCTTCACTACATTCAATCTGTCATTTGTCACAACATGATTGGAATTTGCTAGTTGAACTAGTTCATCCAAGTTGAATGATGTTTCATCCAAGTAGTACGCTGTCTCCATAGCAACATAAGACCACACTTTATCAGATGTAACGCCAAAACATCTCACTAAATTTGGATGGTATTTTAAATCTTTTATCAGAATCTGAATCTTCTCAGCATTCATGTCGTAATCAGCTTTGCGAATGCGTTTCACTGCAGTCGGTACTTTATAAGTACCCCATAAAATATTGTTGTCCTGGTTTTTACCGTCGCTAAGTTTTTTATCTGGTAGGAGCTCTAGATTTTGGCCTATCTGCAGTGGCTGTTGGGGATCACATTTATCACTTTCAGATGAAACTTCTACGGTGGCAAAAGCGTTGCCTAGCTCCGGTTCCTGTTCCTGATTGATTTAACAGATATCATTCATGATTAATATATGAAAAAAAAAATCCATGAAGTTAGGGGTGTCAAACACAACATCAGCACATAAAAGACGTGTACCATGGCCAAAATTAGGGGTTTATCAATGCATTCTTCGCACCATAAAACTGAAAAAGGCATCGGCAATAAAAAGTGAGCAAGTTCGAGATATGGCTGCCGGTGATTTGTTGAGCAAGTTCAAGTTCGAGATAAATTTCCTGGTTGGAATAGAAACTTAATTTGCCTGAGGGGTGCTCATTGCAATGCATGAAGTGTGTCCATGAAAGCAAAAAATGAGGGTCTCATATGTGTTCAAAAGGAGCTATAAGTGCACAGGTGATCGTGAAGGGCATAACATAGGGGATAATATCACTAGCTACACCTTACTTTCTTGGCATGCAAGTATTGTACTTTCTCTTGGTACTAGTGGATTCAATTTTTCTCTTTCGGCAGCAGGTGATAAAAAAAATGATATTATGGAGGGGTTATTTCATCAGTGGATATTATAAAAAGCAAATTAGCAACAAAACCATGGTTTAACAGAAAATTTGTCATGAACATTACTTCGTGTATGATAGTATATGATGACTAAGAAAAAAGATGCTAGTATTAAATACGAACCAGATAACGAGCGAGGTCATTGTGTAGACTTTTTAGCTCTTCTATATCAACTATACCCTTGATCTCATCCATCGGTACGTTCTTCTGTGAAAAATCAATATCAAATATCAACATATAGCCATAACTGTATTTTCAATCGTATCCCTAAATTTGCCATCAATAGTATTATTTGGTATAGTAGAATATAAGGCACATAAAAGAAAGAAAGAAAGAGAATAGGAGAGTATTAAAATGCAACCTGCAGAAAATTTCTAAGATATTTCACTGCTTCAGGGAGTTTTTTCCACTTCTCATTCGCCTCTTGACTTCTTATTTCCTTCTTCTAACAATATAACAAACATCAAAAGTCAACCTGGAAATCCTTTCAACTTTAATTTTCAAATATATTTACATAAATTTGTTGCAATAAAATGAAAGTAAGAATAATATTGAAATGAAACCAACTAATAATAAGTGGCAACCTTTTACCTCCAGATTATCTTCATTGTACGTAAAATATACTGTGTCCATATTATATTCATTTTTACTCATTCCTTATTTTACCGTCAGATTTACCAACAGTATAGGAAATTAAAATGAAAAGATCAAGAAGAATATTGAAAACAACTACTTCTTAATTAGTGACAACCTCTTTCAAGTCTCTTGAAACTTGTGTCCGCGTGGGAGAATTGGAAGAAGAAGCTCCTGAAATTTCTTTAATCTTTTTAGCTGGCTGTGGAATTCTTTTCCCCGTCTGCTAACATTAATAAATATCAAATGTCAATGTCAAAGTACTTTCACTTCAAAGATAAAGAAATTTGTTGCAATAGTATAAATAATTAAAATGAAAGGAAGAAGAATATCTAAAATATAACCAGCTCAATAATTAGTGGCAACCTCATTCAGCTGTCCTAAACCTTGTGTTTGCTTCAAAGAACTAGAAGAAGAAGCTTCGGAAAGTTCTTTCAACTTCTCATTTGTATGTGGAACTTTTTTCCCCTTCTGCTAACATTAATCAACATCAAATGTTAACCTAGAAGTGCCTTCCACTTCAAATATTTTCAAATTTATTCATAGAAATATTAGAATGAATGGAATAACAATATCAAAAATAGAACTAGCTCAATAATTAGTGGCAACCTCATTCTGCTGTCCTAAAACTGGTGTTGGCTTCGAAAAACTAGAAGAAGAAGCTTCGGAAAGTTGTTTCAACTTTTCATTTGTATGTGGAACTTTTTCCCCCTTCTGCTAACATTAATCAACATCAAATGTTAACCTAGAAGTGCCTTCCACTTCAAATATTTTCAAATTTATTCATAGAAATATTCGAATGAAAGGAAGAACAATATCGAAAATAGAACTAGCTCAATAATTAGTGGTAACATCATTCTGCTGTCCTAAAAACTTGTGTTGGCTTCGAAGAACTAGAAGAAGCTTCGGAAAGTTCTTTCAACTTTTCATTTGTATGTGGAACTTTTTTCTCCTTCTGCTAACATTAATCAACATCAAATGTTAACCTGGAAGTGCTTTCCACTCCAAAGATTTTCAAATTTATTCATAGAAATATTCGAATGAAAGGAAGAACAATATCGAAAATAGAACTAGCTCAATAATTAGTGGTAACATCATTCTGCTGTCCTAAAACTTGTGTTGGCTTCGAAGAACTAGAAGAAGAAGCTTCGGAAAGTTCTTTCAACTTTTCATTTGTATGTGGAACTTTTTTCCCCTTCTGCTAACATTAATCAAGATCAGAGGTCAACCTACAAGTCCTTTCCACTTTAAATATTTTCAAATATTTCGACATTAATTTGTTGTGATAATATAGAAAATTAAGAAAATTTTGATGGAACCAGCTCATAATCAGTGGCAACCTCATTCTTTTGTCTTTGAATTTGTGCCCGCTTGGGAGAACCGGAAGAAGAAGCTTCTGAAATTTCTTTCAATTTTTCATTTCTCTGTGGAACTGTTATCCCCTTCTGCTAAAATTAATCAATCAACAGCAAAGGTCAACCTGGAAATCATTTCTGTTTCAAGGATTTTCAAATATATTTACAGAAATTTGTTGCAGTAGTATAGGTAATTAAAATGAAAGGAAGAAAAACAATATAATAACCAGATTATAATTAGTGGCCACCTCTTTCAAATCTCCTGAAACTACTTCTGTCCCCTTGATCTCATCTAGCCCTCGTATAATAACCAGCTTGGGCAGATTCTGTAATGGTACTGATAGTTGTAGGGTTTGCTTTGTTTTGTTTTTCCCTATGGAGAATTGGTGTGTGTGTGTGTGTGTGTGTGTTGTGTGTGTGTGTGTGTGTGATTGTGTGTGTGTCTGTGTGTGTCTTTTCAGTAATACGATTAATTAAAAGGAGAACAACGGTTTGAAGTTACAAAGTCTTAGATGCAGCCAGGTTGGTACCTTACAGGCAATAACCTGAAATTTTACAGGTAGTAACCTGGAAGTTTACAAGAAGTTATCTCGACTTAGTTCAGATTACTGCTATTTATTTATTTATTTTGAGTTAATCATTTGCTCAGATTATTCCTTTAGTATACGTGCGTCTAAATAAACATTGTTTGCCTCCTTTACAGATATTTAGCTATTGATTGAAAACAATGTGGCATGTCATTAATGTCAAGTTGGAGTAATTAATAGGGTCTGCCAAGCTCAAGACATGGCAGCTGATGATATGCTGATGATATCTATTGACGGTGAAATTTCGTTAACAGGATCACGCCGGGTCACCTTTTGGTATCCCGTAGGGTTACCGGCCTAAAACTGGTGTATATTCGAAATTATGCTCGAGAAGTGTTTGAGTAAACTTTGTTGTGAAGGAGATATAAATGTAATTCCTAAATAAAAGGACACACGGAGTTTTATAGTGGTTCACTCTGTTAATGAAGAGCTACATCCACTGCTTTTGGTATATATTTTTTTCAATCTTCTAATTACATCTAGAGTCAAGAAGAGAGAGCCCCTTTTATAGCCCAAGTTTACTTCAGGAGTGGTTTTTCTCTATGGGCCTACCCACCTGAGTGCCTACTACCCCATGGGCCTAGACCTATAGGCTGCTAACAGTTTTTGGACTGTTCATTCATCCAGTTTGTCTCTTATTACGGCTCTACAGATTTCCTGTAATCCTTCCACCATCCTCTGTTGGGCGGTTTAGGAACTAGTAATTAATGCCTGCATTACAGACCTCTTCTAAACCCAGACGTAATTCTCTTGTCCACTCAAAGGTCTCTTAGAGGACGTGGTCTTATTAGGCCGGCATTCCGTACCTACATGATAGGTTTAAACGCCGAGGGTGAGGGAAGCTGTCGTGACGGGTCGACCGCCGGGATCAAATGAACGTCGAAGGGACACAAGGTCGATGACTTTTTAGGGGTTGTCGTCTAGACTTGGGTGCGTCCAAGATACACGGAGTCGACGTCTAACCTGATGCGGCAATTATGGCCACGTGAAGTGAAGCGCTATCGTCATCCGACGTGTCGCTGCCTATTTTCCCGTACAACAATATCTTATCAGAAATGTTTCATTCTTTTAAGAGGAGTTAATCTCTTTTAATTTGTCGTACCTTTTGTTTTTTAATCAACTTTGTTAGTTTAGCCTAGCTTGCGAAGTTATTTTGATAGAAGAGGTGTAATTAGCTGATCTGTTAATTTCTATTCCTAACAAATAAGGATATTGGTGATGGAAGGATTCTATATATCAGTATATATGATTATCATCATCAGGTGTTTTTGTTTTGTTGGATTCGTCGTGACTCGTTTGGATATAAACGTTTGAGTTTGATGTTACGCATGAAAAAATGTATATATTTTTTGTGTATTTCATTTTACTTGATTCAAGTTTTATAGTTATATTATTCTCTTTTTTTTTTTTTTTAATGAAAAGTTGTATTATCCAATTTTGTGTATTAAAGCAATAAGAACTAGGGTTTTATCTGAACTACTTCACAGCGGAGAAGATTGAGTGTCGTACCTTTCAAGAGTATTTAACATCTGTCATTTACATTCTTCTTATGACAAACTGAGCTAGTACTGCGTAACAATCTTTTATCTCACATTTATAATTAGCAATCATAAAATGTTAAAATCTTATATGCTTAATAGCCTCTATCTTTTGCACTACCACACTATCCTTGGCAAGTATGAGAAAGTTGGAGAACGATTATTTCTTCGGTAGATATAACTAATAGGAGCAAACCTTAGCGACGGAGATCACTTGATCTCCGAACCTCCGTGGTGCCCATTTTTGCAACGAAGCTGTTGAAGAGGTTGCTGCTGGAGTAACATTGTTTCCGGTTCCCACAATACTAGCATTTACTGCGTTCCTTGGAATCGCACTGGACGCCGGAGCTGGCCGGACCGCATCGGCGTTTGATTTTGGTTTAGGTTTTGAGGCTTCGGCAGGATGTGATGGCTTAAGATCAGGATGTGTTTCCATTTCTGATTTAGAACTAGTCCTCGGAGAGGACGCGGTGCGGCGAGGAGAGAGAGGAGAGGCGGGCGAGGCTGAGAGAGCTGGGTGGGTGCGAGGAGAGGAGAGAGAGGAGAGGCGGGCGAGGCTGAGAGAGCTGGGTGGGTGCGAGGAGAGGAGAGAGAGAGAGAGGAGAGAGAGGAGAGGCGGGCGAGGCTGAGAGAGCTGGGTGCGTGCGAGGAGAGGAGAGAGAGAGGAGAGGATAGGAGAGAGAGAGTAGAGGAGATGAGAGGAGAGAGAGGAGAGGCGGGCGAGGTGAGAGAGCTGGGTGCGTGCGAGGAGAGGAGAGAGAGAGAGAGGAGAGAGAGGAGAGGCGGGCGAGGCTGAGAGAGCTGGGTGCGTGCGAGGAGAGGAGAGAGAGAGAGAGAGAGGAGAGAGAGAGGAGAGGATAGGAGAGAGAGAGTAGAGGCGGGCGAGGTGAGAGAGCTGGGTCGGTGCGAAAAGAGCAGAGGAGAGTGAGGAGAGGCGGCTATTGTACCGTCTACTTTATTTTATAATTAATAACAAAGTTCACTTTTACTTATTTTATAATTAATCTTGAACGTTGTTTAAAAGTTGCAGATTCCCAAAGAAATAGAGAATGTAATTAAGCCACGTCGGTTTATGTGGGGGCAGACACTAAGATTTTGAAACTTTTTTTTAATGTAATAAAGTCTTAAAAGAATTATAAACCTACCTCTACGTAACAAAATTATTCCTTATAAAAATGTAATAAAGCTAGGGCTTGAACATATTATTCCTTTTTCCCTCTTTTTTTTTTTTTCAGCTTCTCAAAATTTTTTATTACATAGCTGGAGACTTATAATTATGTAGTATGATGCACGGGACGTAAAGCATGGATAGTTTTTGAGCTTGACATGCTATATTTGTATACTTTTTTTTTAATATCTCAATTCCTAACCTAATATAAATTGTGGTAGATTTGCTGGAAAACCTGGGATGTCTATCGAATGTTGATCATGAAGAGGTGTGTTAGTAACATATATTTGTTTCTTATAACAGTATTAATGTGTTAAGTGTAACTTGTATATTGAGTTCTAATAAAGAAGCTGAAGCAATTATTTTTGGGGAGGTTCATGTCGCAAGTGATAAAATATTTTTTGCATAAAGTGATAAAAATAATATTTGGTCTTAAATTTTATTGAAACCAATTTTCTGAAAATGGTCCTTTTAAAGCGTTAAAATTTGATAGAAAATGCGTTAACGTCGTCTGGTAAACTGATGGGTTGCCTAAGTCAACCAATCGGCTACTAATATATCAACTTATTAGTGGCTGATCCAGTTAACAGGACGAGCACAATATCTACATATGACGAGCCGTTATACACAAGCCCAAACAGCTCTTTCAAGGTTTTAGGTATTGAAGGGTTTCTTTATATTGAAGAGTTCCCATTCCCAACTTTTATACTTCTTTTTATCTTAAAATTCACATAAGCTAAGCTTTGAGATATCTTTTCTTGACTGCTTACAATTTATTAGAGTCCACATTGTATTAAATCCAAGCTATAAGAGATACCTTTGAGGTATTTGGTATTATAGGATAGACAACATCTTAATTAGTAAATTTTAGCGGTTATCGATCGGGTTAAACTAATCAATGTTTGTACTCAGTATGATCATAATTGGAAGTTTGAAAAATAATAACCTAATTTGTAGGCATTGTTTTGCTTTAAAACCTAATTATCTCAGCAAAAATATATTAACAAAAAATATGAACAAATATCTCTAATTTTTTAAAATGTCCCCTTTAATATTGTTGTCTACGGCCCATAAAATTACTTGAGGTGAGCTGATATGATTTGGCTTTCTCATTAGGTTTGTGATTTGGGTTTCGTAAATTTAAATTTATGGAGAAATTTTATCTATGGACCTGGAAACAAGTAAATTAAAGGATTCTATAAGTAGTATGTACTATTTTATACACTAATAATTGTTGTTGTTATTAATTAAAATTTCACATTCACATCTAAACTAATTATAGAGTGACAAGTATTGACGATAACAATTTGGAAAGATGATTAACGTGATTTTTAACGTATTAGTGAACAATTTGGAAAGATAAAAAATAACACAATATGAAAGAAAGAATACCAAGATTTATAGTGGTTCACTCTTTTGTTCAAGGGTTACGTCTGCTGTAAGAGAGATAAACTCACTATGATTAGAGAATGAGAATTACATAATCTTCCCCCATGGGCTTGCCATTTTCAATGTATATATATGTTCTATCCCCCCTCAACCTCTGCCATTTCCATCATTACATCCTATCACATTATCTCCATATTTTTTAGGGTAAAATCCCCAGTGGGTGGGGTTTCTACCAGTCAACAGTAGTTTTTCACCTACTCCCCCACCAACTTTGCTTGCTTTCAAGTCACGAAAGATATCAGCAGGCTCGGTCTTTTCCTTGAGCTGCGTTTATTCGACTCCTTAGGCGCTCCTCAAGCCATCTTCACTTACATATGCCTGGAGTGGTCGACCTCCTATTTATCTCGACTCATAGCGAACGACTTCATATGTTTGCTACTTGCTCAATTTGCGCTCTGCTCCCAAGGGGGCCTTCTTCCCATGTGGCAGCTTGGACAACTCTCATCTGACGTGGCGGTAAGGGCAAAGTTGTCTTTAGAGGAAAATATCCCCATTTATGATGTGTGGGCCCCACCTAAGGCTCAGATTAGGGTTTAAAATTTTTACCCAACAACATTTGCTCCCCAGGTCGAGGCATTCCCTAAGGGTGTCCCCAGCTTTCATTTGGTTGGGTGTATATTTTTAGCTCCTCTCCTCTGGGCTTGCTTTCTCAGGGAGGATCTAACCCTTAGGCTTTCTAGGTAATGATAGCCGGTGCAGGAGTTGTTTCCTCGAGCCAGGAAGCAATCACATCAGTCTGACCATCATATCTGACATCATTTCTCTATTTTGAATGGATGGATCTGTACTGTTAGATCACGTTTCTTCGGATTCTCACCTCAATCTTCATTGTTGGATCATAGCCCCTCGTCTCCACCATTGGATGAGCGATTATTTCATCAGATGGTCAGGGGTCGAGGGTTCTGCTCTTTATAAATTGGCACCCAAATAGGTATTTCTTCATCCTTATTTCGAAAAAAACTGTTGAGACTCTGCCAAATTTTTCCTAGAACTCCTAGCTTCCTCTTCCTACAGTGCTCCACAACTCCGAGTTTCAGTCCCCACCTTCCTCAAATCTTTGAGTAAGTTCTTCTCCATTTTCCTTTTGTATTTATTGTGTTTTCCTTTTCTGGTTTTCTTTGACCCTGTGTAATGTCCGAGAAAAACCCAATAATTAATAGGTAGAATTAATTAAGGATTTTCCATAATTACGTCAAAAAGTTCATAAGAAAATATAAGTATAGAGCTTATAAAGTTAAGCTTTGGCATTAGTTACGAGAAATGGTTATAAGAAAGACATGAGGTGAAATACAAAAAAGTCAAGTTTTGGCTATTGAGCCCAGAAGTAGTTTTAAGATGTAAAATAGTCCAATTTAGTATACAATTAAGAATATTAAATCATATTGAATTACTCGGAGATTAATATTAGATGGTAAGTAAATAATAAAAAAGGACTCTTCGAAAAATTATATTTGTCGTCAGCCAAGTAAATTATCTCCAGCCAGAATAAATTATAACACAACCAGTGTCAACGGAAAGCTCTCGATGAGCTGAGCATTTTGACAAGTCACACAACCTCCGATTCTGCCGAATCAGCCGCAATCAGCGGCTGAAGTTTTGAAAACAACCAAAATACCCAATTGCGAAATCTCCCTCGTCCGATCTCAGATTGAGGTGATTTTAGTGCCTATAGACTCAGAACGATGAGATGACCAAAACCCATGCTACCTTACCAGTAGATTCTAGCCAGAGCACCACCGTTTAGGGTGGTCAGAATCCCCACTACCGCTGCAACGTTTTTGCTTCTTCTGCCATCCATGGGTGTCACCGTTGCCATATTAACGCCGTCATTCCGTCAGAATTGAGAGAGGGCCGCCGTCCATTCACGATGGAAGTTGGTTATGATGATCCAACCATTCGATATCATGATTTTAGTGTCAAAACACTCAGAAAATCATGGGGAACGAAACCCTGAAGTCAATTTTGTGTTTCCTTAATTAGTAAAAAATGTAAGATTCGAGGGGTCAAAATTTTCTGACGTCGGCGGTCCCGATATGCACTGTTAGGGGATGAATTTTGGGAAATTGACTATACCAATGGACTGAAAAGTGTCAATTTAGGGGAGGTAGGACTCAAGTCTTCCATGAAAAAGACCCTTCGATCACCGCCGTCGTCGTACGCCACTGTCGGTGCTAAAATCTCACGAGTTGTTGTTTCTCGGGCAATCAAACTCCGTTTGACTATCTTAGACCATATCCCGACTCATTTCAACATATTAAAGGCAACAATGACCTCTGTTTGACCAAATTTAATTATGACAAAATTGGTCTAGTACTGATTGCACGCGGATTAAGGTGAATCAAACAGATTCGTTGAAGTTCAGAATTGAATGTCTAATGCTTCAATTATGGCTTCTCCTGGAACTAGTTTCAAGGAAATATGCAGTGGGACAAGACAAGCGGGTTCTACCATAACCGCTTAGCTCAGAATTGAGGCAAGTGCAGTATGATTAATAACATGTAATTTAGAACATATGATGTCCGTGGGATATGTTAATTATGAATTCACGAACTCATAAAGGCAATTATGGAAGATAGAATTATGAGGATTTAATTAGTCCTTATAATAGAGATTATAAATTTTTATGATCCTTAATAAAAATGATAACTATGTTCTAACAAAGGATTTAATTCTTTTGTGACTATGCTAAATAAAAATTGCATACTAAAGGTTAATCTCACCCTCTAAATGGGTGTTTATATACAAAACTTAAGATCTGGGCGAGAAGCGAATTATGCTATTACTGAAAAGTATGTATGTATCAGTAGTTTTCTTGTCTA